GATTTTTATGAGAATGTTTGTTGACTCGTATGTCGAAATCTCAAACATAATGCCATATCACATAAGACATCCAAATATGTAATGAATTCCTAAATCTCCAGACGTCTAGTAAGACTTATTTGTTTACATGCATTCACTTTCACACGTTTCTTGTAATTCACAGTTAATGAGGTTCTCGTATTGAAATATTTTATTGATGAATGTGGTTGAATTGAACAGTGTTTCGTTGGTAAACAGTCAATGACAATAAATGATTGGTAGGTGAAAGCAGTCAATGTGAATGAAGAGGTCATTGTTGATGGTAAACTGAAAATACGTGCTTTTTATGCGGGTCATGTGCTTGGTGCTGCAATGTTCCTTGTTTCGGTTGGCTCGGAGAGTGTTCTGTACACAGGTCATTATTATTCCTATTCTAGTGTTACTATTATTAATATTATTTATTTTGATTGTTAAATTAGTATTGTTCTATTGAAAGCTATACTGGTATTGGTATTTGCACTTGCTTTTTATTTCTGCCTTGTTCGCTTCTGTCACCGATAAAACATTAATTTCTCGATCAGTGCAACTTTCGTTGAACTCCTGAAAAACGATCACTGTTGTATTAGATTTGTTAGAGCATCAGTTTATTTTAGGTGACTTCAATACGACACCGGATAGGCATTTAGGTGCGGCACATGTTGAGCCTGGATTGCGACCGGATTTGCTGATTACTGAGACGACATACGCAACAACGATTCGTGATTCGAAACGTGCTCGCGAGCGTGATTTTCTGAAAAAAGTTCATGATTGCGTTGCAAATGGTGGAAAGGTGTTGATCCCCGTGTTTGCATTGGGTCGTGCTCAAGAGTTATGCATTCTACTTGAATCGTATTGGGAACGAATGGATTTGAAAATCCCCGTTTACTTCTCGCAAGGTCTTGCTCAGAAAGCCAATCAGGTAAAGTAATTGATTTTATCTAATCTGTTTTCTGTAGTGTTGAACAAATTATAAAGCTTACCGTGATCGGACGATGCTCAGCATACTGTGCCAGCACGGATCGTAACATGCTTGTGGATGCTTTCAGTTGCCCTTATATTCCTTCATTAGCAATATCATTTCTTAAGCTTTTATTGCTGCGGAAATTGCGTTGTAATTGAAATGAATGCCGTTTTGAAACAAGTCAAAAAATTGCGGAAGTTTCAGTATTATCGATTGTTCATTAATTGGACCAACGAGAAAATCAAACGAACATTCGTGCATAGGAACATGTTCGATTTTAAGCATATTGGACCGTTCGACAATTCAGCCGCTGACGCACCAGGACCTATGGTACTATTTAGTACGCCTGGTTAGTATTATTTCGGGTGTATTTCACTCTTGCGCCATTATTATTCGGCCACATATCATATAGCGTCGTTCATCCACGCAAACTTATGTTGATTTGTTGACTTTTGTGGTAACTGAATATTCAAGACTTATGGTTATTTCAGCCAGAATCGTTATTCTAGATGCCATATTGATTGTAATCGTGACGACTTGTATTTATCGAATTTTAGTGACGATAAATATTTACAGATGCCGAAAAGTTGCGTATCTGTTTCGTTAGTTCAGCATAAGCTTGAACGTACATGTTCAGTTAGATAGCCTCACGATATTGTGGGAATCTTTTAATTTGATCCTATATATGACGCATTTGTTTTATTGATCTCATTTGTTGAAAGTCACAAATTTGCATTTGTTTTGTCACAATGAAGTCAATTGATTATGAATAACAAATGGTTTTTTGTTTTTGCAAATGAACATGATCAATATTAGGAATGCTCCACGGTGGTCAGTCGTTGCGAGTTTTCAAACAGTGGTGTTCGGACGAGAAGAACATGATCATTATGCCTGGATTTTGTGTTGCTGGAACTGTGGGTGCGAAGGTTATTGCTGGTGCCAAAAAAATTGACATCGACGGAATAACAGTATGTCATGTTCACTTTTAGTTTTTGTTGTGTCTGAGCAAAACAGAAAATGATGCAGTCCATCAATTAAACAAGAACATGGAGATATGAATACGATTGAACAAAAGATGAATTTAAAATGGGCGATTTGCAGTATGACATCAATCTCGGTGTGGAATATATGTCGTTCAGTGCTCATGCGGATGCGAAAGGAATCATGCAGGTTCGATTATCTTATCAATTAGTTTGGAAATTGTTTGGTTGTTGAAATGAGTGTATGGTGAACTTTTTCAAATGTCCACGTTTTCGTTTTTTATGCATCTAAGCTGCACAAGTAAACTGTAATGTCATGGTTGAATCTTCTCCCTCTCCTCCATTACAAGGGAACGTGCACTTCCAGAGGAAATTTACTGACTTCGTTTCGAAATTTTACTGACATCCGATGAACAATGAAAAATTCTCTTTCTGCAGTTAATTCGGCACACCGAGCCGAAGAATGTGATGTTTGTGCATGGCGAAGCTTCAAAAATNCATCACTCTTACTTATTTGTGGTACTGACATGACGATATTCTGAATCACTTGGCTGATTCTTTTGCTGTTCACTATGTAGTCACGAAATAAGTATGTCTTTAAATAATAGAACTCAATGCGTTGATTCCAGCGTGTAATTTTCTGCTATCATCGATATTGTGACTTTCTGATGTAATGACTTCGAATTTCCCGAAAATAATCGAAGCAGCGAAGTCAGTTACATTCAGCAAAATAAATGTGTTGACGAATGAAAAGTTCAGGAGTTTGGTCTGCGGGTCTACAAGCCGGCGAATGGTGAATCGATAACGATCGAAAAGGATGTGGATGGTTCCTTGACGGTACCATCGCAATTGATCGAACGTTCCATCGCTCTCGACCCAACTCCAAGCAAGAAATTCTGCCCTTTTCGTGCATATGTGGTCATGGATAAACAGGTATTTGCACTTTTCTATGCACATATCTGTGTTTGCCGTATCCAAGTGCCCGATTTCTAAGATATGAATGAATGTTTTAATTTTCAATTGGTTGATTGATTATTCATCAGTTTTATGCGTTCAATTTTCAGTCGAATCAATTGGAAGTTATATCTGCGAAAGCAGCTGCCAGGCAGTTCAGCGTTAATTTACATTCGATAACATTCAGTGATACGATACAGTTGGAGGAAATTGATTGGCATAAAATTGCAAATAAATTGAGGCGATTCGACCCGCATTTGGACGTTAAACAGGTTTGAACTGATAAGCTAGTTGTTATTGATATTAACGATAATCATTTTAGGGTGGTTTTATTACTAGGCAAGATTGCTAGTGATTTTTTTAATCTTGCCCAAATTATTTGTTTTTGATGTAGAATTGTCGTCCATTCCAGGATGGACTGGAAATGTTCAGTGGCGAACTTCTGTTAGCCGAAGTGAACGGCAAACCGAATGAAGTTGAGATAATATGGGATGAAATGCGAGAGGAATGGTTTGATGTGATTAGTCGGGCGTTAACTCAAAAATATTTCTTCTAATCTCAGCTGCAATCAATTTATTAAACGATTGCTAAAGGACTAACCAATTTATATTAAAATAGCATTTTGCGTGCTTTCTGTGAAAGGCCTGGAATCTGTTGCGAATTTTTCGGATTTGGGAGCAGTACAGTATTTCCAGCGCTTAGTTACTGCATCGTTTTTGTATAGAATCTTCTCAAAATTTCTGCTTTAGTGCCTAAAATTTATTATAATTTTGTTTTTGTGGTGCAATTTGCTGGGAATCCGTTTCGTTTCTGAATTAAGTGATCGTGTCGACAAATTTCTCCAAACTTGACTGCTTCCAAAGCGGAGAATCGTTTAGTATAGTGCTGTACAGTAGATTTGTATTGTTCGTTGAATGTTTTTGTGTGATCTCGTTGTTATTTATGTGCCTCTTGTTGTTTTTGTTCCTTTTGTCAGTTTGCTCCAATTTGTAAACTTATCTTTGTTTCATGATCCTGCAACTGGATTTTGGTAAAAGGTATCGCATTCTGGTCGCGATGATTTCACTGAATAGTTTTTAAAATCTCCAGATATATCTTCACATTATTTTACTTGATCCATCAAAATACATATCGAACGTTTGATTCGCATCAGTGACTTTTTGAATCAAATCGTCGCAAGATTTGTAATTGATCGTGAAATTTTCAGAGACGGTTCATTTGAGAACGTTTACTGAGAACAGTTTGTGTTATTTTCAATTTTGTTATTTTGGTTTTTGTATGTAAAAAAGAACGATGCTCTTGGAGTGTGGAGTAATAAAGTATCTTTTGACTAGCTTCTGATTCATAAATGTTGTCATATTGAATCTGTTTGTTTTCAATCGGTGATCATACGAGATACTTCACCAACTCAATTGTAAATTCCGTATGCACTCTCGTTATGGGACATTGTTTGTTGCTGGAGTATTACCCTTCAAAACGCTTCTGACTATCTGCTGACGGCAACGATAACTCTCAGCTGATGATCGTTTTCGTTGATGAGAAGTGCAATAGTTGTTATCAGAAGTAGTTTAACACAGTCACGGTGTTGAATGAACTTCAGGTAGGTGCGTGAATGCTTGTAAATAATGATAGCGCCGAATCAATTCACATCGGAATGGATGAACGCTGCCGAATTGACAGCAAGATTGGAATTAGGTGATCGCATCGAAATAAGGCGAGTGGTTGGAAGAAATCAACGACAGATCTATGCGGTACGTCAATACGCTCCATTGTGCTTTAGCCAACTGATTCTGATTCATCCTAACGCAATGATAATTAATGAAACTTCGCAGAAATACTGAAGATAGAACATGAAGTGCGAGGTTATTTTGAGTAGGAAATGAATGTTAAGAAGATTACATCGTTGAATTTGCTGTTGCCGTTATGTGTTTATGTGATGTGATAGTGTTATAAGTGTTCAGTGGAGGTTTTTCGAGACTTTCGATTTCTTTCAGCATTGGGCTCTTTTCATTGGGTATTATGAAGACATGGCTTGTGTCGCACATGTGACCACAAATTCTGGTGATTTCGATGTGAACGTAACTGATGTGATCAATCCGTCCGACTCCGTTGTTGACCTAACAACGAAATTTGTGAAAGGTAGTCAAGCACAAGTGAGTTTTTGAAGCGATTTTGGACCGGTATCATTTGATATATTAATCAGATCAGAATTATGATCTGATTGTGAGTTGAGTCGACCATTCCGATTACTAAACGGATGACTCATTTTATAACGGTTGAATTGGTATAAATTCCTGCGCTATACGAGTGTGGTAGTTTAACAAGCGATTTATTCACTGTGTCTGGTAGCGATAGATGATTGAAGTCAATTGAGCTCATAAGGCGACAATGTTGTGGAGACTCTCTTGCAGTATTTGCTATTCGTTGTTAGCTGTGACTGTTTAACAGTCGATGTTACAAAACTTATTTCCTTTTCGTGACGAGACTTATTTCCTTTTCCGATGCAGTTCTTTTGAACATTTCACTCATAATGTCTCTGTCTTTCTCTGAAGGTACAACAAGGTGAACTCACGCGTGTTGCACGTACGGATATGTGCCGAATCAATAACTCACTGGATCGACTTCGAAGACCGTTTCCACCAAGCATTATCGTTACCAGAGCACTTCTCATGGTGAAAATTTCCCTTGTTAATTTCTGATTTGTAATAGTCTCTTTAAAGGATTCGGTATGCATAAAATAGATTTCCAGTGTAAAGGACACTGCTTAACTCTGTTCACCGTAAAATTTTTTTGAAAGTTAATTTACCTCTGATCTGATTTGAGAAACAATTTTTTGCAGCTTGGAAGTGGCGGTTACAACATTCTGTTCAATAACTG